ATGGAGTCTCACTGTGTTGCCCAGGCTGGTCTAGAACTCCTGAGCTCAAGTGATCCATCCACCTTGGCCTCTCACAGTACTGGGATTATAGGCATGATCCACTGTGCCTGGCCGGGAGCACTTTTTGAATTATACTCCAAGAAAACATCCAAAAATTGTTCAAAAAATTCAAAAAAGGGATCAGAGAAAAAAGAGATGAAAGGAAGAAACAAATGGGACTGGCACACAGAGGCTTTCTGGGGGTGTTTGCAAAGTTCTGCTCTTTGACCTGGTTGGTAGTTACATAGGGATTCAATTTAGAGTAAGTCATTACATTGTAAATTTATGGGTTTTGTATTTTTCTATATGCACGCTAATTTCACAATTTCAAAAGTGTTTTGGTTTTCTTTTTCTAAAAACTTGAATGGAGTTGGCTGGCTGCTCCACCCAAAGTAAACCAGGGCATTCAGAGCTGGGGGTAGGGACTGAAATGGGCAACCAAAGACCTAGAATGTCAGAGAAGAGGGGAAACTTTGTTTGCCCTGGTCCTGTCCCCATCCCCTGCCCCTGCGCTACTCACCATCAGCAGGCCAGGTTGGGGTCGGAGGGGTGGCCTGGAGTTCTGTGTAGACTGCGTCTGGAGTCCAGAAACAAGGGGTCAGGGAGAGAACAGGAGAGAGAAAAAGAAGTGGACAAGATCTATGGATGGAGATGCCAAAGATTCCCATAGCAACTCAATTTTAATGTAATAGAAATGGCTTATGGCCGGGCGCAGTGGCTCACGTCTGTATTCCCAGCACTTTGGGAGGCTGAGGCGGGTGGATCACAAGGTCAGGAGATCAAGACCATCCTGGCTAAAACGGTGAAACCCCGTCTCTACTAAAAATACAAAAAATTAGCCGGGCGGGGGCGGGCCCTGTGTCCCAGCTACTCGGGAGGCTGAGGCAGGAGAATGGCGTGAACCGGGAGGTGGAGCTTGCAGTGAGCGAGATCGCGCCACTGCACTCCAGACTGGGCGACAGATCGAGACTCCATCTCAAAAAAAAAAAAAAAAAAAAAAAAGAAATGGCTTAATTAATCCAGCCATTTGCTAACTGCTGAAATGTGCTACCAATAGGTCCTCTTCTTTGGAACCTTACGTCCCACAGATGCCACACTACAGCTCCTTCTTCGAGATGCTGGCTGCAAATTAGCTTTCTCAAGACTCTGAGAAGTGCTGCCTAAAATAAAAGTGTTTAACTCAGCCTCCCAAATGCCCTTGCTCTGAGAAAAAGCCCCAGAACTTCCTTTAGGGACCATCCTTCCCTGACTCTTGGTCCCCTTTATGCAGCAGGTCTGACACCAGCCCTGGTGGAGGTTGGACATGGAACCCAGGCCTGGCCAATCAGCTTCCTATGCCTGTGGCCACAGTGGCCAGCTTAGGGATACGACCTGAGCCTGGCCAAAGATAACTCAGTTCTGGGACATTTGCTGGACTGGGGAAGGGAAATTCTCTTGCTGGGATTCTCAGCAGACAGGATGAGAGCCCCAGGCTTCAAGGGATCATCTTGGCCCCATGAGAAGAGACTCTTCCTGGAAATGAAGACAACACAGAGAAAACAGACCCAAGAGGTAGAGAGAGGTTCCTGATAGCATCATTTGAGCACCTAGATCAAGCCATGCCTGAAGGTCTGTACCTGGACTTTTTCGCTACATAAATCTACATAAATTCCCTTGTTGGGTCCCAGTTTGGGATTTTTGTTGCTGTTGTTATTTGCAATGACAGGATCTTGATAGACATGTCCCTCTTTCCTCACCTGGGGCTGGTGTCGGGACCTGAATGTCCATGATAGTTGGGTCTGCTGAAGAAATGGACGTGGTATACTTCAACGTCTGTCCTAGGGAATCAAAGATGAGAAGTCAGGAGGGAGCCTGGTCCCCCTCCTCTCACCACCCCCGCCCTCCACTCCCTGGTGAAACCTTAGGGGTCCTGTCTGCTGGTGGAATCACTCAGCTTTGACAGTATCAATCCATAATTCTGAAAGGGTTTTCAGCTATGCCAATGCCTGGGAACCCTTCTTCTAGGCCCCCTCCCCGCCCATCCCTGTGGGGTGGGAGAGTCAGTTTAGTCTAGTGAGCCCAGGTGCTAGGGTCAGCCCGGACCCTAGTTTCAAATCCTGCCCCCAACAACTTTCTTGCTGTGTGACCTGGAACAAGTAAAGTCCTTTCTCTGAGCCTCAGTTGCTCCATCTGCAAAGCGGGGATAATAATTGAATCTACTGCACAGGGCTATAGATAGGGTGAAATGACACAGAGCAGGGAAACGGTCTCCCACACTGCTTACCATGTAGTCAGTGCTGGATAACTCCACTGCCCCCACCCTTGCCCAACCTCTGTACCCTCCAGCCTGGACATCCCAGCAGCCTCCTCCCTGGGCTCCCTGCTCCTGTCCCTGCCCCCACAGTCTGTTCCCACCTACAGCCAGAGGGAGCCTGGGACCACCTGAGTCAAGTCAGGGCCTGCCTGGCTCAGAGCCCTGCCCTGGCTGCACTTCGCTCTACATAAAAGCAAAGCCCTCAAGTGGCCCATAGGTCCTCCTCCATCTGGTCCCATCACTTCTCCGTCCTCTCTTCATCCCACTCTGCCCCTTCTCATCCCAATCCAGCCACCCCACCTGCCTGTTATTCTTAAAGCACACCAGACAACACTCAGCCCCCAGACACCTGCAAGGCTCATTCCCTCATTTCCTCCAAGTGTTTGTTGGTCCCAATGTCACCTCCTCAGTGAGGCCCTCCCTGACCACCCAGTTTAAACAATCCTCATTACCTGTACTTTTCTGCAAGCACATAGCACCTCCTAGCACATGATATAATTTACTAATTTGTCTCTCCCCACTAGAGTGTGACCTCTTGTTTTATTCACTGCTGTTTCCCCAGTGCACAGAATATCTAGCACATAGTAGGTGCTCAATAAATATTTGTCAAATGACTGAATGAGTGTATGAAAATCATTTTATGAAGGAGAAGTGAGGGTGCTTTCAGTGGGGCGTGCACTCTGGGTTCTGGGGGCAGGCAGGACAGTTGTTTTCCCAGCTCCCCCACACACTATCCTCTGACACAGCACACTTCCCTTCGCTGAGCCTCAGTTTCCTCATCAGTAAAATGGGCATGACAACAGGTGTGACTGACTGTCAGAGGCAAAGCCTAACTGAGCTAACACACACCACACACCACACCTGCCATGCAGAAGGGATGCTCAATGACCCCCCGCGGTTCCTGTCTTTCAGGAGACACTTTCCAGGCAAGGCTGAGATGTCACCAACTCGTTGGACCAACCCCAGCTCAACAGCTTTGCCTAACTGTGTAATGCCCCAGGACCCAGTGATCCTCTTTTTTGGGAGCCGAGGTTTCCTGGCTGCTGAGTAGAAAACTGACACCAATCTCCCCGCCAAATCAAACTCAGTGAGTTCTTCTTGGAGGTGAAATTGGAGGATGCTCAGCAGGACAGGCCTTGGCCAGACTCACTGGAAGCAGCCACCTGGGTTTGAGGTGTCCAAAGAGGGTGTAACGTCGCCCCGCCATAGGGATCCCCACTTCCTGGTGCCGGCTCAGCGGGAGGGTGACAGGGCGGGACAGAACGTTTACACGCGCCAGCCACCCACCCTGCAGCACATGTAGGGCTGACCTGGCTGGGGGCTCTGGGGCAGGGTGGAGGCCAGAGACGGGTCTTACCTCTGGTGGGGAGAATCAGGCCAACGATGGTGAGAAGACACAGGCGACCAAAGGGCGACATCTGTGGGACCAGGCGATGCTGGGGTCAGCCATGATGTCAGCGAGGCCGGCCTCTGGCAGCCCCCCGGGGATCCTGCAGCCCCTTCCCTGCCCTGAGCAAACACCTCTGGCTTCCAGGACCCCCTGCCAGGGCAGACGGCTGGCCTCAGGGGAAAGGGGAGGGTCTTAGGTGGGGATATCAAACAGTCACCCTGCTTCCTTCCCCTGCAGGTCCCCAAAGAAAACAAGAAGCAACAGATAAATGGATCTCCCAGCAGCTGCAAGGGCCGGCAGGCGCCCCTGAAGCAGAGAAGCACCTCCCTGCGCCTTCCGCCAGGCGCCTATCCCTCACTGGGACTGACGCAAGGAGGGGACTGGGGCAGAGGAGTAGATAGGAGGCCTCTTCCCTCCCCCAGGGGCCCAGAGCCCAGGAGTCGGCAAGGAGGGGAAGGAGGAAGAGTGAGTAACGCCTCCTGCGCTCAGAGGAAAAAGTGAGTTGGTGTCAGGGGCTGCCTTGCAGGGATGGCGCGCTAGGGAGATCTGAGAAGCACTGGTCCGAGGGGGGTGGCAAACAGCTGGGGAGACTGAGGCAGGCCGGCGGGAGCGAGGCAGAGCGGCCCACTGTAGCCCAGGAGAGGAGGCAGAGAGATGTGGGCGTGGATGGGGGACAGAGAGGGGCGGAAGGGGTCAAACCCCTACCCACCTGAGCCCGGCCCGTGGGCAGAGGGGCAGCAGATGGAGGTGGCGCGCGAGAGGCACTTACGTTGGAGCTGGGGGTCCTGAGCCGGCAGCCTAGTGGGGAGAGGGACGCGGCGGTGGCTGCTGCGTCCAGGCGGAGGGTGTGGCCAGGGGAGCGCGAGCGGGCGGGGACCCAGACGGGCTCAGTCATTTCCTCTTGGGTTTCCTGGCTTCAGAGCCCGGGGTGGGAGCAGGAGGGGGAGCCGCTGAGGGCAACGGGGGGCAGGGGTGAGGGCACAGTGGTGGGGGAGGGTGGGGACGGGGATGGGGCCGGCAGGTCTAGGGTGAGTGGACGCCTCTGAGAAAGCAGGGGGAGAAAGGGGAGGGGTCTATTCTGGGGTCGCTGGAGGAAGGGAAAGGACAAATCCGGAGGTGTTGAGGAAGAAGGGATTGGAGGGGGGCAACTCGGGGCACAGGGAGAGGAGAAGGAAGAGGGGGCAACCCCGGGCACGCAGGGGAGAGCTACCCCAGGTTCAGTTCTGCACCCCTACCCACACCGTGCCCCATAGATGAGAACACACAGACAGAACAGGAGAAAAAACCAAATGCACATTTATTAAGCTCAAGACAAGGACACTGAGGGCCCAGGGGGACGGATCTTCGGGGATGAGACAAGGAGGTGCAGGGGGACCGTACACGGGGATGCTGGCGGGGCTGGGCCGGGATGGACTCCCGGATCCCAGGAGCTGGAGGCCTGAGGCCCCGGGTCTGGGGTGCAGACGGGCTCTTTGGGGGATCATCATTGCCAAGGCCTGGGGAGGGACAGCAGGGTGCAGCGGCTCCAGCCTTGGGGTGGGTGGGGCGGCTCATTCCGGGGAGCGCTCCCGGCGCGCGGCTGGGTCCCCACCGCCTCCACCCGGTCCTCAGGCTCCCGCGCTCAGACAGGGTCGGCAGCGGAGGTTCCTCGGGCAGGTGTTACACGCCGCCGCCACCAGGGGCTGGGGAGAGAGGGGGGGTGCGTGAGCCACCAGAGAGGTGGAAACTGCCTCCCTCCCCACAGCTCGTTGGCTCTCCATTCCCCCGCACCATGGAAGCCAGACCCCAGGGACTGTCACCCCTGAGCTAACACTGAGGAGCTGTCTTGCCTTCCACACTCTAATGCCTGGTTCCCTTGGGGACACCTCTGGCTGCTGTCATGGAGAGAAACACCTGCCACGGGGCTGGCGGCCCCAGACCCAACCTGGGCTTTTGGGGCTGTCCCCCTGCCAGAAAGGGAGTCCCCATCCCCATTCCCATCCGCAATCTCCTCCTACACCCTCACTCCTTTCCTACACTCCCTGTCCTGAATATTTGGCTACAACGGGAATTCCCCCATTCCCTACCGGCTCCAGACCATCATTCACCTAGGAGAGACCAGAAACCTGTGCAAAGTCTTCGTCTGTGCCCCGGGTGACAAGGCCAACCCCCATGCTGCCCTATGCATCCATGAGTGCCCTGTTCATGTCTTAAAATTCATTAAATAAGCATGAAACAGGTCCAGCGTGGTGGCTCATGCCTGTAATCCAAGCACTTTTGAGGTCAGGAGTTTGAGACCAGCCTGGCCAACACGATGAACCCTCATCTCTGCTAAAAATATAAAAATTAGCTGGGTGTGGTGGTGTGTGCCTGTAGTCCCAGCTACTTGGGAGGCTGAGGCAGGAGAATCGCTTGAACCCGGGATGCAGAGGTTGCAGTGTTGTAGTAAGCTGAGATCGTGCCACTGCACCCCAGCCTGGGCAATGGAGGACAGAGCAAGACTCCGTCTCAAAAAAAAAAAAAAAAGGAACCTGAAACAAATTCCACACCAAATACCCCTCAACCACTGAATAACCCGTGTGCCCCTCCTGCTTTTTTTTTTTTTTTTTTTTTTTTTTGTTATTGTTATAAGAATGTTATAGGAGACACAGAAATTCTCATTTCTGGTTTTTTACAAGTCTCCAGAAAGGCTGCATTTCCACTAAAAACAGGTCAAGATATTTTTACATAATTAAAATTAACAGCCCCAAGGAGTCAGAATCTTTCATCGACATGCTTGCTTGCCCTGCATCCCTCTCGTTCTCCCTTTACACCTTCCAGGCTTACACCCATTCTCCCTCCTCCACCCTGCAGGCCGTCCTCCTCCCATCCTCCTCCCCTTCCTTCCTGGGCTCCTCCTTCCCACATTCTCCCCGAACACCTCCATCCTCTCCACTCTACCCCCTCCTGTGCTTCCCAGCTTTCTTCTCCATCCTCACACTCCCTGCATCCCATATGTTCTTTTCCAATGTGAATTCTAAAATCTGCATTCTATTCATCTCTCTTTTTGTTATTTTGATGCAACAATTCAGAAACCTTCCCTCCCTCCCTCTGTCCCTTTTCCTTGGCTATTTCATCCTGGATCTGAACGATCAAGTCTGGAAAGCCTCTCCTCGTCTTCCTCAGTGCTCCCTGTCTCTCCCTCCTGACTGACAGAGCTCCTCCCACATGGGGCCCTTCTCTTCACAGGCCTGTAGTTTCCTCTCCTGGGAAATCAGCATGTCCTGGCTTTTACAGGCTTGAGCATTTGTTTCTGGGAATCTCCGTGGACTCTGGGACATGTCACATCTCACTGCCTCCCCACGGTTTAGCATCATCTTTCTTTTCCCTCCCTCCCTTCCTCCCTCCTTTCCTTCCTTCCTCCCTCCTTCCCTTCCTTCCTCCCTCCTTCCTTCCCTCCCTCCCTCCCTTCCTTTTTTCCTTCCTTTCTCTTTTTTTTTCTTTTTTTTTTTTTGACAGAGTCTCACTCTGTCACCCAGGCTGGAGTGGAGTGGTACGATCTCAGCTCACTGAAACCTCTGCCTCCCAGGTTCAGGTGATTCTCCTGTCTCCGTCTCCTGAGTAGCTGGGATTACAGGTGTGCACCACCACGCCCAGCTAATTTTTGTATTTTCAGTAGAGACAGAGTTTCACCATGTTGGCCAGGCTGGTCTCAATCTCCTGACCTCAGGTGATCTGCCCACCTCGGCCTCCCAAAGTACTGGAATTACAGGCATGAGCCACCGCACCCAGCCAGGTTTAGCATCTTTCATCTGCGGCATTTCCTCAGCTTCCTAGGGAATTGTCCTGTGATATCTGCGGCAGCCCCCCTGCCCAGTCCATCCACAAGACTTCCCAAAACCCTCCCAGAACCACAGTTTCTCACCCTCACCTGAAGAGGGAAGCTCGGACTTACAGGATTTGCAGGTTGGGCTGTGGAGGCAGAGATGAGAGAGAAAAGTAGAAAGAGGTTCAGTAACCATAGGCTTTGGGGAAAACACATGGCAGGCCCAGCGGATCCTGCCCGTCTGCTAGGGAGGTACCCCGAGGCCCCCTCCCACTCTCTGCCCACTGCTGCCAGACCTCTCAGACCTGGAGTCCGCCTTCCTGCACTTCACCTTCTTGCCTGTTGGGAGAGAGAGAGACAGAACAAGAAGACAGGACATAGGGTGTAGGATATGCACGAAAGCCAGCAGAGGAACCGGAGGCCCAGGCAGCCCAGGGACGGGTCACACTTACTGATGATGATGAGGATACCCAGCAGGAACAAGATGGTTGCCAGAGTCATGCCCACAGTCTGCACCGTGTTGTAGTCTGGGGAAGATAACGGGGGACATCGAGGCAGGGACAGCACCTGGGCTCCACCTGGAGCTTCAGTCCTGGCTCTGTGTTGCCCAACCATGGGCCCAGAATCGCCCAGGGAGGCTGCGGGCCACGCTGGACGCTCCTTCAGGGGGCTGATGTGAGGATGTAGGGCATGGGCTTGGGCACCATTAGCTCCCCTTGCCCTCTGTATCCTCTACTTTCCTCCCCTGCTCTCTCGCGCTGCACTTTCCACCCTGGATATATACATAATACTCTCCCTCTGCCACCTCCGCCCTGGCCCTGGTTCTGTCCACCATGGTCGCCCATCTGGCCTCTGCAGCAGCCTTCTCTAGGTTCTTGCTGGCCTGCCTGCACTCCCACCTCTGATAGCCACAAGGACCCATCATTTGAGTCAGATCTGGGCTCTCCTCCGCTCAGAGCCCTCCTCATCCCATTGCCCTCAAGGTAGAAACCAGAGTCCTCACTACGGCCCTCAAAGTCCCATAGGATCCAGTCCCTTTCCTTCTTGGACCTCACCCCACCTCACTCTCCCCATCAATCCTACTCCAGCCACAATGGCCTCCCCGCTGTTCCTGGGGTATATCCGGCCTGATCCTATCCCGGGGCTATCCTCTCCTATCCTATGACTGGCTGTTCCTGCAGCCTGAAAGCTCTTCCTCCAAATATCCACATGGCTCCTTCCCTCACCAATGTCTGGGCTTTGTTTCACTGTGAGCAAAACCTCTGGCTGTCCTGTCCAGAATTTTCCATCCTCTCCTCCACACTTTCCAATCTCATTCCCTTCTTTACTTCACAGGAATTATTCTTACCTAATATTCTTGCCTAATAATATTCTTGTCTTTTTTTTTTTTTTTAAAGAGACATGGTGTCACTCTGTCACCCAGGCTGGGGTGCAGTGGTGCAATTATGGCTCACTGCAGCCTCCACTTCTTGGGCTCCAAGAGATCCTCCCTGCTCAGCCTCCCAAGTAGCTGAGACTACAGGCACACACCACCATGCCCAGCTAATTTTTAAATTTTTTTTTGTAGAACTGGGCACAGTGGCTCATGCCTGTAATCCCAGCACTTTGGGAGGCCAAGGCAAGCAGATCACTTGAGGTCAGGAGTCCAAGACCAGCCTAGCCAACATGGTAAAATCCTGTCTCTACTAAAAATATGAAAATTAGCCAGGTGTGGTGGTGTGGGGGCCTGTAGTTCCACCTACTCGGGAGGCTGAGGCAGGAGAATCACTTGAACCTGGAAGGCGGGGGTTGCAGTGAGCCGAGATTGTGCTATTGCACTCCAGCCTGAGCCACAGAGTGAGACTCTATCTCAAAAAAAAAAAAAAAAAAAAAAATCACAATCATAGTTCATTGTAGCTTCAAACTCCTGGACTTGAGCGATCCTCCTGCCTCGGCCTCCCAAAGCACTAGGATTACAGTCATGAGCCACCGCACCTGGCCAATAATATTCTTGTCTAATATATAATTTTCATATTTTGTTTTCTTGAGTATCTGTCTCTTTTCCATTGAGTGGAAGGTCAGGAGGAGGGCAGGAATTCTTGCATTCCTGAATTCTTGTCTGTGTGGTTCATTGCAGTGTCTGCAGCTGCTTGGAGCATTGCCAGGCATAGAGCCTGTGCCCGCTAAGTATTTGTTGAGATATGAATTTATGGAGCACTCACTCTGTACCAGTAGTGGTCCAGGCCTCTACCCTCAAGGAGATGACTTTCATATTCTGATAAATCATTAAAGAAACAACCCCTCCAAAACAAGTCATGCGACTCCAGCTGGGCATGGTGTGACTCTTCCTTGCCAGGGAGTCAGGAGGGCCTATCCCAGCAGAATAGTCTAGGTTTGATCTGAGGCCTGAATAAGGAGCCTTAGCCAGCCGTGTACAAAGCTAGAGGAGAAGCATTCCTGCAGAATCATGGCATATGCAAAGGCCCTGAGATGGGAGATAAATTGACCCCTACGGGAAAAGTATGAATGAGCAAAGGGGTGGGGTGGGGGCAACAGGAGGGTGTTCAGAGGGGAAACTGGAGCCAGATCTACCAGGCCTGGGGTAACTTTTTTGAGCTTCAATGCTATGGAGGAGATTTAATGGCACCAGCCACGTATCTTTCCCACAATCCTTGTAGGTGGGAACTATTACTGTCCCTTGTTTACAGAAGGGCCCAGAGGGACAAAGTCGCTTGCCCAAGGCCATACAGCTAGTGAGTGGATAAGGCAGGGTTCAAATCCAGGCAGCCTGGCCTCAGAGTCATTGCTTCTAAGATTTTCCTTCATCTGCTTCTCTGATGACACAAAGGCACCGGCCCAGATCCCGGTGAGACCTGAAGGGGGCTCAGAGAGAGGGTGAGGCACCCCCACTCCCCCATCTGGTTCTGCCCTCCACGAACCCAGCTGATGTGAACCACACCCATATATATGATCCTGTGGCCAGTGGCCCAGCACATATCATGTAGCCATAGCTGAAGCCATGTCCGGAGCGACGTGGGAACACCTGCAGCCACTCCCCAGTCCAGCCCCCTCCCCAAATCCAACACTCACCGTAGTAAAATGGGTCAGGTTCCTCAGGAGCTGAGGGAAAGAAGCAGAGAAAAAGAGAAAGAAAGAAAGAAAAAAAAAACTTAACAGTGGATTTCTTAATATTTTTGAGGATCCAGATAGAGGGCCCAATAATTTCTTTGTGGAAGTCAGATAGAGACCCCTTGGTTTGGATGATGTGGCTTCATGGCAGGCCGCAAGGCTGGAAGAGCATAGCCCAAGCTGGATTCCATTCCCTACTCACTCCATCAGTCAGCACCATCCTCTATGCGTTGTACAATCTACCCAAACTACATGGCAGTCCTGGTTCTGGACCCCTGTGGAGGTCTGATGCAAGCTATGGACTCATTCCCTGAAAAACACAGATGCACTCCCTCTTGCACATGATGTCACAAGGTTAAAACAGACCCCATTTCCACTGGTGGTCCAATGAATGTCTCAGCTTCCCCTAAACACTCCCTAAAACTTCTCAGTCACCTGAGGGCTTCCACAGGCACCTGCTGCTACTGCTGTCATCCACTCACTCCTGACACTCCATCCAGTACAGAGAAGCTGTGCTGATTCATACTCCTCCTCTCCTCTCCTCTCCTCTCTCCTCTCCTCTCCTCTCCCCTCCTTTCCCCTCCCCTCCCCTCCCCTCCCTTCCCCTCCTCTCCCCTCTCTTTTCCTTTCCTTCTTTCAGACAGGGTCTTACTCTGTCACCCAGGCTGGAGTGCAGTGGCACGATCTCAGCTCACTGCAACCTCCACCTCCTAGGTTCAAGCAATTCTCCTGCCTCAGCCTCCCAAGTGCTGGGATTATAGGTGTGCACTACCACTTCTGTCTAATTTTTGTATTTTTAGTAGAGACAGGATTTCACTGTGTTGGCTGGTCTGGTCTCAAACTCCTGACCTTCAGTGATCCACTGGCCTCAGCCTCCCATAGTGCTGGGATTACAGATGTGAGCCACCGCATCCAGCCCATTATTACTTATTTCTAAGACACCATCAAGTTTAACATTCAAACTTGAGTCCGGGCACGGTGGCTCACGCCTGTAATCTCAGCACTTTGGGAGGCCGAGGCGGGCGGATCACAAGGTCAGGAGATCGAGACCACAGTGAAACCCCGTCTCTATTAAAAAATACAAAAAATTAGCCAGGCGCAGTGGCAGGCGCCTGTAGTCCCAGCTACTCAGGAGGCTGAGGCAGGAGAATGGCGTGAACCCGGGAGGCGGAGCTTGCAGTGAGCAGAGATCCGGCCACTGCACTCCAGCCTGGGCGACAGAGCGAGACTCCATCTCAAAAAAAAAAAAAAAAAAGATTCAAAATTGAGTTTGTAATGGTTTTCCCTTTGTGTGTGTGTGTGTGTATGTGTAAATATGTTTGGAACTCTACCGTGTGAAATGTCCCCATCCATTAGAAGACACATAATGATTTCAGAAATGTTCACATGTGGATAAAATGTGTGTGTGCCTCTGGATGCACTTTTCTCCACTTCCTGCCTTCCTGGTCCTAATCACGTTCCCCTGCAGGAGAGCTCAGAACATCCTTCCCATTCAACGAGTTCATCCCAATGGCTCTCGAATGCCTCTGACAGTTCTTATCATATTTGGCCTTTCCTAGAGCAGAATTTGGCAGCAGACTGTCTGCCACATGGGGAGAGGGTGAGGGGTGCCAGGGTGATGCCTGATGTCATGGATGCTCTTCTTCCCCCTTCCAGGCTCAGAGATGGATGGCTCCCTGGAGGTTGGATAGGGCCATGTGACTAATTCTGGCCAAGGAACTGTGAGTAGAAGTGCATTGTCACTTCCAGGCTGGGGCGTTTAAACATTCAGGAACATTCAGGCCTCCAGGCCAAAGCTCTGTTTCACTTCTAGCCTGATGGCCTGAATGTTCACAATGCTGACTGCTCTGGTTTTCTTTGGTGACTGGTCAACCTGTGATGCATGTATAGCCTAAGTGAGAAGTGAACCTGGTTGTCATAAACCCCTGAGACTTTTGGTACTATTTGTTACTGCAGCATACTCTAGCTGAAACTGACTGACAGAAGTGGCCCCAAAGCAACACCTGTTTGTTACCGCAGCATACTCTAGCTGAAACTGACTGATAAGAGGTGGCCCCAAAGAAAGACCATGATTCACACAATGTGTAAGTTTACCCTTCCCAGGTCTCTGTCCAGTCTTCAAAGAGGATGTCTTAGGTTGGTGCTGAGGTATCTTTAACACCTTCCAACCCTTGTTAATCTCCCCCTTTACCTAAGAGAAAACAGGCCTTGGGCTCCGAATCTTCAACAGGCAATAAAATCTAGGCAGAATTTTGTGGCATTATTTGGTTTTCTCCTTTATTTATTGATGTAACCAGCAAGGGGTAGCTCTGACTCCATTCCAGCCTCCCTGCTAAGCATCTGACGGATATCAGTGCATTTACTCTTAATCTTCATAGCAACTCTTTCATATGGGTGCTATCTTCATCCCCATTTCCTGCCAGGGGGACACCAGACCCACAAAAGCGAAATCACCTGCTTCAGATTGCTCTTATGCTGCCTTCAATTTAAGGCAAAAAGAAGACGAATTTTCCAGCTGGGCATGATGATTAATGCCTGTAATCCCAGCACTTTGGGAAGCCAAGGTGGGCAGATCACGAGGTCAGGAGTTCGAGACCAGCCTGGCCAATATGGTGAAACCCGTCTGTACTAACAATACAAAAATTAGCTGGATGTGGTGGTGCACCCCTGTAGTCCCAGCTACTTGGAAGGCTGAGGCAGAAGAATCACTTGAACCCGGGAGGCAGAGGTTGCAGTGAGCCAAGATTGTGCCACTGCACTCCAGCCTGGATGACAGAGGGAGAGTCCGTCTCAAAAAAAAAAAAAAGAAGAAGAAAATGGTGAATTTTCCAGTTGTGATGGTGCTATAAAATAAAGCTCATTGTTTTTAAAAAGCTAATCCTGGGTTGGGCATGGTGGCCCACGCCTGTAATCCTAAGCACTTTGGGAGGCCAAGGCAGGTGAATTGCTTGAGCCCAGGAGTTTGAGACCAGCCTGGGAAACATGGCAAAACCTGTCTCTACAAAAAATACAAAAATTAGCTGGGTGTAGCGGGGAGTGCCTTGTAGTCCCAGCTACTCGGGAGGTTGATGTGGGAGGATAGATTGAGCCCAGGACTTTGAGGCTGCAGTGAGCTGTGATCGCAGCATTGCACTCCAGCCTGGGTGACAGAGCGAGACCCTGTCTCAAAAAATAAAAGTAAAAAAGCTAATCGTTTGAAGGAAAAAAATTAAATAAATAGCAGTGTGAGGAGTATTTGAATAAAGTGAAAATTGTGACGGTAATACTCAAAAGCACCAAGATGGTGAAACACTGCCTCAGGGTCCCTTGTGCTCTGTGTAAGTTTCCCCACCAGAGAGTGAGTAAATTTGTTTGACTCATCGCTGCTGTTCATCCTGACATTTATGAAAGGCTCTCCAAGTTTTCTCGGATGAATGAATGAAGGAATGATTATGAGGCGGTCCTAGGCTGCAGGAGGCTGCAAAAGGTGGATTGTCTCACTAGTCTTTTCCACACACCTGCCCTTCCCCAAAGTTATCAGGAGCCCGCTGGGTGAGCACCTGTCCCAGAATCTGGTGTTCCATGCAGGAGATCCTCCTCTGGTCCCTGCTGCCCCAGCAACCTGGGCCCCCAGGCGTGGCTGGGCTAAGGGTGGGGCCAGGAGTCAGGCAAAGGAATGTGCACTACTCCTGGACAGCTGCCAAGGAGATATCAGGAAGGAGGTGGTTGCTATGGTAACTGGGGCATCTCGTGAGGTGAAGAGAGGTGATAGGTCCCGGCATCCCAGGCTGGGTGGGGTCCCTTGTGAGGTCCTGTGTAAGATGCGGGTTTCAATCTTGACCCTCTCCCCTCCTTTTGCACCTCCTGCTGTTGCCCCTGCAGGACTGGCTTCTGGCCAAGCTGAGGGTCCATTTCAGGGACAGGGACCCGGACCCAGCTGTGCTCATGCATCCCTCTTCTGTTCACCCCTAATTCTCCCGCCCGTTCTCTGGCAGGGCGGAGGGAGACAATCTCCCTTCTTCCCCCCTCGCTCCCCAACAATTCATTAATTAGTTTCCTTAAGCAGTTTGCAATGCACAACATGCTTTTCCTCCCCCGGGATTTCCCGAGACCCGCGGTCCCCTCTCATGCTGTGACTGGGAAAGGGGGAGGCAGAGGAGGTGGGGTTGAGGAGTCTGTCCTCCCACCTCTGCCCGTCTGCTGCCATCGATCCTGTTAACCACCACCTCTGCAAAAAGAAGCCCTGGGCTCCCGCCAGGCCTGCTGCCTCAGCCCTGCCCCCTCTCCCCAGGGTGGCTTCCAGCCTCTGCAGCCCCCCCCACCCCCCGCCCTGCTTCGGATTCTGCAGATATGGCTCAGTGCAGCAGCCCCCGCCTTCTGGGAAGCACGGAAGGGAGGGAGTCATCCAAGCGGAATTGGGGTTCCCTTCACGGCCAGGGGCTTCTCAACACCCCTGGTCCATCCCCTGCCCTCAGTGCTGGAGACCCTAGCTGGGCACCCGCTCCCTCTTGAAGCAGTCTGTGCCTTGCTCCTCTGCAGAAGCAGGCTTAGCAATGGGGGCTATTAGGGGGCAACGGTGGAAGTGGGTGTTCAACTGGGTGCATAACTGGGTTAATGGGTGTGGAATGGAAATCAGTGTGCGGCTGGATGGGGGCAGTAGGGGCAGTTAGGTGCATACCCAGGTACACCTCTGGGACTGGAAAACACCCCTGCTGTGGGCTGGGAAGGAGGGTCCCATCACCCCATTCCCACCCATGGGGGTTCACTGCAGTGGTTTGGGCCCCACCCCACACTGCTTCCTTCTCTTTCTATTCCCCTCTTTCCCCATGGGTCCGTCTCTCTCCCTCCGTCTCTCTGCTTCTCTCTCCATAGCAGTCTCATTCCCGCTATCTCCCAGGCTCTCATTTTCTCTCTCTCTCTCTGCATCTCTGTCTACCGTTCTTTGCCACTCGCCTCCACTGGGAATCTCTCTGAGTCCATCTATTTGTCTTCCTGGGTCTTTGTATCTGTGACTCTGGATCTCCTGCCTCTCGGTCTCTGTCTCTTCCAGGTTCTCCCTGTCCATCTCTTGCTATATCCCTTCTCGCTGTCTCTTCCTTCAGCTCTCACTCCTTTTCTCTGAACCTGGCTGTCAAGGGTTTCAGGAAACACACACCCTAGGAGACAGCACTGGAAAGAAGAGGGACATGAACCTCCTCCCCTTCCTTTGCCCACCCCAGGGACCCTGAAATCTTCCAGAACGTCTCTGGCCGCAGACCCACCCGCTCCCACCCTGCAAGCTCATCTCTTCCCGTCTGCTACCACCACGGTGCGGGACCAGCCACCCGGTTGCCATAGCGACCTGTCCGAGCATCCCTTCTCCCGGGACTGCCACTCTCCAACCGCAGGTCTGGCACAGGACACCCGCCGGGGAGGGGGTGTCCCAGAGACCCGGAGGGGCGATCGGGGGGCTGCATTACAGGGGCCTCCGCCCACAGAAGGAGCAGACCTCCCTCCCCCCACTCCCCTGCCTTACCATTGCTGGAATCTCCCGACACCCTCTCTCCTAGGCTCTCAGATCCCGGAGCCCCCCTGCAACCCCCTCCCCAGACGACGCTCACCCTTTGTGGGGGTCTGGGTCGGGGTCGCCATGCTGGGCCGGAGCAGGGGGCTGCTGGATGCTTTGGCGGCGAAGGCGCGCTGCAGCAGCTGGAAGCAGGACGGACCGATATGGGGGGGAGCTGGGGGGAGCCCTGGCGTGGGGGGGCCTGCAGCCAATGGGGGCCCGGGGAGCCCGCCCCCGTGCAGGCCACCCCCGCCCCCGCCCCCGCCCACCACCGTCGTCCCCGCCCCTTCCTCTAGGGTGGGGCGCCCCCTGCTGGGGCCCAGGGGCGCTGGGCTTTCGCGCTGAGGGACCGAGACCGACAAAGTGCTGTCGAGAGGAACGCACGTTTTATTGGAAGTCTGGGCGGCAGGGGGAGTCTGCCGGGGCAGGGCTGGGGAAGGGGCGGCGGAGGGGGCGGTGGGCGCGCAGGTGGAGCGTGGGAGACGTCAGGTGCCAGGGGAGTCCTGTGGGGTGAAAAGGGTGAGTGAAAGGCGAGGGGGGAAGTCCAGCACCACCCCTCGCCGCCCTCCAACCCTGGCACTTGGCCCCTTCCCTCTCCCGCCTTTCCTTCCTCCCTCCTTCCCTCCCACCGCCGTGTCAGAGCTGCAGCACCTGGCCGGATTCCATCGCGCCAGGTGTTTCTACCGCCTGCGGGTGGACAGACCTGGGGGGAACACGGAGATCGGGGGTCATCAGGAGGGGCATCCCCAGCTCCTGGGAGGGCGGGGCAACTCCCCGCCCTCTGCTTTCAGATCCAGCCCCTCCCTCTACGCAGCCGGGGAGGGCCAGGAAAAGGGGTCCTTGGAACCAGCCCTCTCCCCAAAATACCCGCAGTCTCCCCAGACTCACGGCGGATGGAGCTGCGGAAAGTTCCCTCCTCTTCATCGGGTTCCCCAGTCCTGGGAAGACAGAGGCAGAGGGACTTCGGGATGGAAAGGGGGAGAGGCTGCCCTTCTAGGAACCCCCAGTACAAGCCTCCTTTCCCAGACTGGTGTAACGAGGCCCAGATATGGACGAAGAACAGGCTCGGGGTCCTCCAGAAATAAGAAGCACCCAGGAGCAGCTTAAGTGCTTTGCAGGGGGCTTCCAAGCCGGTTAACAGTGAGTACCTCCGCGGATTTGGGGGCAGGGATGTGAAGTTGGTAAGGGAGGGATAGTCAAGGGGACTTGGCAGACTGTCATGAGATGGCCTGGGTTGGAAACCCAGAACCCCCCATCTTCCACTTGAGTGATCTTGAACAAAGTGACTTTACCTCCCTGTGTCTCAGTTTCTTTATCTGTAAAATGGGCTTACTAACAGCACCTCCCTCCCAGAGGAAGTGAAACCGTATCTGACACGTGGTACACACCCAATAAATATTAGCTACTGCTTATGATAATATCTATAATTGTTCTAACATATTCACACATTGTCCATGCTTTAACATTTTATTTGAAGAGGAATCAAAGAGCTAGGAACAGGACTCTAAGCTAAACTGGGCCGCGTGTGAGATGATCTCATTTCACCGCCGTTCTTTCTTTCCTGCACTTTGTGTTATCACGCTTTGTGATTTTTCTATCTGTGGGGCTGTTGGAACCCACGGCCACCGCCTCCACTAGGCTGGGAGCTCGGCCAGGAAGGGCGGTAGGTTTTTTCCTCGCTTGGTCCCAGGGCCTGGCTTGGGCCGTGGTACATAGGTGCTTAATACATAGTCGCTGATGGGGATCGGGCTGCGGGTCAGGCGGACTCCCCGCCTCACCTGCGGCGCACTCCAGAGCAGGAGCGGGCGAAGGAGGGCGGGGAGGGGCGTCTTACCTCTGCTGCTGGTTGAACTTGCACCGGCATCTTCTGCCTGTGGGCGTGGAGAAGTAGGAGAGGCTGAGGCTCCCCACCGGCGGACGCCAAGCGGCGCTGTAGCTCCAGCTCACCCTCGCGAGGGGCGGGACTTGGGGGACGGGGCGGGGCTAGAAGCGAGACCGTAGGCCGGGGAGCCAAGGCAGGGTAGGCGGGGCAAGGCCTGGGAGGGGTTGGGGCGGGGCGAGGCGGGGCCAGGGCGAAGGGGACAAGGGGGCGGGTCCGGGGAGCTGCGGGGAGAGGCGGGGCCAGGGAGCGGCGGGGCCAGGGAGAGGCGGGGACAGGGAGAGGCGGGGACAGGGAGAGGCGGGGCCAGGGAGAGGCGGGGGTAGAGGGCGGGGGCTAGGGGCACTCACTGAGCACAATGAGGATGCCCAGGATGAAGAGGATCCCGGCGATGATGAGGCCTCCGATCCGCAGGGACTGGTAGTCTGTGAGCAGCAGAGCAGGGAAGGTGAGGGCAGGGAGGAGAGGAGGGAGAATAGGAGAGGGGTAAATTGGGGAGGAGGGAACAGGGAGAAAGGACCAGCAGGGAGAAGCGGGGAAATAAGATCAATTAAGGGGGAGCAGATATGGGAGGATGAAAGTGGGGGACCAGGGAGAGGAAAGAGGTATATAGGAAAGGGAGGGAGGGGGCAGGGAGGAGGGGGACGGGGGAGAGAAGATGGGAAAAAGCAGAGGATGGGCCACGAGATGCTGAGAGAGACCCAGGCACGAGAAAGAGAACCAGAGAGGTATCACATAGACAGTGACACAGAGACACAGACAGGGAAAGACGCAGACAGGGGGAATCAGAAAGGAAGGACAAAATAGAGGGAAGGAGAATGACAGAGATTTCATATTGGGACTCTGGAGGAGGGTGAATCAAAGGACCAGCAAAGCCAGGATCTCCCCCAAAACTCTCAGAATTAGACCCCCCACTCACCATAAGTGAACGGGTCTTGCTCCTTTGGACTTTCTGGAAAGAGAGAAATCAGGGGTTGAATGCTTCCTGGGGTCCTGGACAGGGAGGGGCATAAGGAGACCACTGGGGGCTCTGCCTTGCTGGGCTGAGATTCTGAGGGTGTCTAGGCAGGCTGCCCACCCTCTCTGGGTCCCAGCTGCCCCCCTGCACTGTCCCAGATGGGGCAGGGGGCACCTAACTGCCCCAGCTCCCTGATTCATGGCAGGCTGCCTGTGACCCAGTTATCCCACCAGGGATTCAGCCCCATCCCACCCCACCTTTGCCTGATCCGGGGCTTCCTCTCCCTTCCCCCAAATGCCAGCCTGTGACTGGACCCCACGTGGAGACCCTCAAACTTCTTGGTACCCCAGCCGACTCAGTCTAGGTTGCGGTCTCCAACTTGGTTCTTTCTTGGGGTTTCAGTCCCCGCCGCCACCCCTGGGGCTGAGGTGGGTAGCGGGCAGCCTCCCCTGCACTCACCTGCCTTGGCCATGGTGATGAGACTCACACAGAAAACCAAGATGTGGCCAAGAGACGCCATTGTCCTGGGGGGGGACACAACAGGTTAGGCAGTGTGTGCCCTTGCTCTCCCACATAGGGCTTGAACCCAAGGGATTAAGTCAGAGATAGTCTGGGGACTGAATCACCGAAGCATTCATCCTCTAGCCTGGTGGCTCCGAGAAACAAGGGTATCCCCAGCTTCGTGGGGACACAGTGTCACCAAAACAACCTCCACGATGGGTTCACACAACAACACAATGTAGCAGGGACAGGCGTGAGACACACAGTCCCTGGGGGCCTCCCTCGGGCCTCCACCTCCCACAGCAGGCCCCCGATCCCCAGACCTACCCTGGCAGGGCAGAGGAGGCGCTGCCTCACACAAACACGGAGCAGGAGACAGCGGGGCACGCCCAAGTCCCACCTGCCTACACGCCCAGCCTCACTGTGCCCCGCGAAATCCCAGCTCCCTGCCCTCTCCGCCTGCCGGCTCCCAGCCTGACCCCGGGTATAAATATCTCCCACTTCACCCTGGAGGAATTCGGCTCGCTCAGGCCACCATGGCAACAGCCTGCCTTCCCCCACTCGGGGGGTCACGCACAGCCCTGCCCGGGTGAGGCCCAGCTGCCACATCGCCACAGGCTGCCCCTGTGGGAAAGGCCACCCTGTCTCCTCCCTGGGCAGCAACGAGGAAAGGAAAAGACAGCCCTTCTGCCTGCCTCTGGGTGACATCTTTCACAATCGGCTGTCAGGCAAGTGACATGAGGCCCAGGCCAGTGGGCCTGAGAGAGAGAAGACACTGCTGGGGCAGGATGCGGTGCACGCGCGCGCGCGCACACACACACACACACACACACACACACACATACACACATACACACACTGGGGCCGGAATGGACATGAACAACAACCTCTCCCCAAACTTCTGGTTGGAGCAGGACGTGGGGTGTAAACACCGTCAGGCATCCAGTACTCCTCCTCTGGGCCTCCGGTGCCCCCACACAGTGACGCAACCAGCCCTACACATGTGTGTGTCCGAATTCCACACCCTGCCAGGGTGCACACGCACCAGCAGGGCAGGGCGGAGTCGCCCACATCCCACCCTGCAGAACCCACTGCCCCAACCACACTCCCTCCCTCTTAGGTTGGCCTGCCTGGGAAGCCTCGGGCTGGCCACTACTGCTCCCAAAATAGGCGGCCCAGCCAGACCAGGGGTGAGGCCTGGAGGGAAGGAGTGGGGGACGCTCACCCCAATCGGGCTGTCCCCTGCTGAAAGAAGGCCCCCAAACGTCCTGCTGTGCCCCGGGGGCTGAGCACTTTGGACCCCCTGGCCCAGAGCTGGACGCGCCGCCCCCAACAGGCTCCCCTCCCAGCCCCACCCCACCCTTGCCCTCCCCAACCAGCAGCTGTAACTGGAGCTGGGGCTGGAGGGGGGCCAGGGGGCGGCCCCCAGCCCAGACCGCCCTGGCCCGCTAGGTTAACTCTCTCAGTTCAGATGGAGGAGCAACAGGCAGCCAGCAGGCAGGCTGGACAGGCCAGGAGGACTGAGGAGGAGAGGGTTGTGAACACACACACACACACACACACACACACACACACACGCCTCCAAGAGCTTCTGGGCTGAGGCGGCTGGCCCCTGGGAATTGGGCCCAGCCAGGGCCTAAGGTCACCCAGCCTGACTGCCCAAGAGCCCACTGACCCCCGATCCCAGTGCTCCATGGGGTCCTTAACAGGGCCGTTTTAGAGGATGGGAGGGAGGTGTGTGTGTGTGTGCACGCACGCATGTGCATGCAGTATCTGTTGCAGTGAGATCCCCAGAAATGCTACACACACATACACACACACACATGCACACACACACACAGGGAATCCCAAAGACCCAGATATACAGGTACAAAACCAGACAAAACCACGTATGTATGTACATCCATAGAGGCAGGCACACAGAATGACACACTGATAGAGAAACCCAAAGACTTGGACACACAGCCAACACCTCTTATGCCAGTCACAAAATACCAAAACAAGCACATTTATGTCTACACAGACCCATGCACCCTCGTGTAGATGGATGACCCCACAGAGACACAGTCAAAAACATAGCCACACCACCATCCACACTCACAAACTGGCCACAAAAATGCATGTTTCTGTGAAGACCCACCCACAAATGGCCATACAGAAACATACAAGTATATGCACACCACACATAAATGCATTCAAAGATGCATGGCCAAACATGGCCGGGTACGGTGGCTCACACCTGTACTCCCAGCACCTTGGGAGGCCAAGGTGGAAGGATCACTTGAGGCCAGGAGTTCAACACCAGCCTGGCCAACCTGGTGAAACCTCATCTCTACTAAAAAAATTAAAATTAGCCGGGCATGGTGGCACATGCCTGTAATCATGGCTACTCTGGAGGCTGAGGCAGGAGAGTCACTTGAGCCCGGGAGGCAGAGGTTGCAGTGAGCTGAGATCACTCTAGCCTGGGTGACAGCACGAGACTCTGTCTCAAAAACAAAAACAAAACGAAACAAAACCAAAGGTACAGACATGCTGCCAGCACTCCTACACAGTCCCAAAGATAGGAAGGCCAACAAGCTTGTGTACACACAGACAGATTTCTATGGGCACAGATACACAAGCAGAAACACCATTGAGGACAACCCGCCACTCTCACACATACCCACAAAAGCAGAAACACATACACTGGTTCACACCCTATGCTTGGGCAAACAGGCACATGGCTGGCCACGGTGACAGACGCACAGGTTGACACACTTGCATGTTCACACATTCCAAAACCACAGATCTGTATTTAACCCCACGCTTTCCTTCCCCTGAGCTCTTGTCGGGGACAACACACCTGGCGTCCCCATGGGCAGGCCAGGTTTACAGGTCCTGGTGACGGGGAAACCTGGAATCAGGCCTGGGTACTGCACTCCTGGTTGTGTGAACTTGAGCAGCTCTGTGCCTCATTTTCACATGCTCCGAAATGGAAAAATCACTAAGATCACATGTATAATCCTGGACAGTGCTCAGAGGTCTCTGAACTTGACATTGTCTTATCATTAACTTCATTTTTTGTTTGTTTGAGACCTGGTCTTGCTCTGTCAACCAGGTTGAAGTGCAATGGCACGATCATAGCTCACTGTAGCCTCAAACTCATGGGCTCAAGTTATTCTCCCACCTCAGCTTCCTGAGTAGCTGGGACTACAGGCGTGCGACACCATGCCTGGCTAATTTTTTAATTTTTTGTACGGTCGGGGTTTCACTATGTTGCCCACTATGTTGTCTTGAACTCCTGGCCTTAAGCGATCCTCCCACTTCAGCCTGCCAACGTGTGGGATTATAGACATGAGCCACTGTGCTTGGCCCATTATTATTGTCCTTGTCATCCTCCTCCTTGTGAACTGAACCGCTGGGCTGGGCACTCTATGATAGTGGGTTCCAATCCCTCTGTGTCCCTGGCACTCAACTCTCCAACTTCACTTTCAGGGACTTTGTTTATCATACCTGAGAGTCAGCAGAGGAAACCAACAGCTGAAGGGCATGGCTCAAACCACAAGCTGCTGGGGTCTGCTCCTCTAGGACTTGGATCCGGAGCCCACCCCCAAGCCTGCCGACCACTGAGGGATGCCCACCTTGTGCTGAACCCCAAAAGAATGAGTTGCCTCCATCACCTGAGTCCTCTCCACAACTGGGAAGTGGGTGCCACGATTGTCCCCATTTTACAGATGGGAAAACTGAGGCCACACAGGACTGGGCCTGCAACCCAGATCTGCATGACCTCCAAGCTGTTAAGCCCCCTTATCCTCCAACGAGGCTTCTGGGTGTGGGCGTCAGAGTCGAGAGAGCCTGCATGCATTCCGCAATCACAGGGTGAGTCTCAGCCTCAGGTGATGAGGTGGTACAGCCTAGGGGTTAGGTTTAGAGCTGAACAGAGCCAGGAAACTAATCACATAACTGCCCCGTGCCTTAGTTTCCCCATCTGTAAAGCAAGGATAGCAGTACTGCCCATCTCACAGGGTGGCTGTGAAGGCTGAGTGAGTATAAACATTACTACTATTTCATGTTAGCTAACAAGTGTCACTTACTTATTTTTCTTATTTAGTGGACAGAATCTATCCAAATGACTGAAAGCTTAGTCCAGATTAAAACAACCAATTATCCATCTATCCATGAACTCTCATCTCCAAAGAAAGAATGCAAAATAACCTGGAGCAGCCCTGGGGCTGGATGCCTGGGTTTGAATCCTGGCTGTGCCCTCAGCTGGGTAACGTGGAGTTCAGGTTCCCTGACCTGTCTCCACTTCCTCCAGCTGTAAAGTGGTGGTGATAACAGCACCAACTTCAGAGGGCTTTGGCAAGATCAGAATGAGTTAATAGATGAGCTTTTAGGACAAGGCCAAGCTCAGAGTAGATGCTGAAGAAGGGGTGGCATCATCATCGTCATCATCATCATCTTCTTCACCATCATCATCTTCATCATCATCATCATCATCATCTTCTTCACCATCATCATCATCTTCATCATCATTGTCATCATCATCATTATGTCCTCGGGTTGGTGCCACCCCCCAGTGGGTGTTGGGCACTCGAGGGTTAATTTCAGAGTAGGGGAGGGAGGCCGTGGGCTTGGGGCAGGGCAGAGGTCCTGCCGAGTGTGACCACCAGAGGGAGCAGCTGGACCTGAACTGGCCCCACTGACAGCGCCCAATGCACTCTCCTGGAGCCAGGGGAGGGGGCTGTCAGAGAGTGGCCAGGAAGGGATGTCCCCAGCCCCCAGGGGCCTCTCCTCCCACCCCGCTCCAGTCTGCAGAGCCATCCGGTCCCCACCCTGGTGACATCGTCCTCCTGCTCCCGCAATAGGGTTGAGTGGGGAATCTGGGGTGGGGGCTGGCGTGAGTGGTGGGACGGCTCCAGCCCCTGGTGGCCCCTCCCCCTCCTGTGGGGCTGCCCAGTCCCTTCCCCAAGGCCGACCTTCTCATGGCCTCTGACCCCCTCCTCCTTCCCACCCTACTCTGCCGGGTGCATCGGGTGTCCAGTGAACCCCTTTCCCAAACCTTCAGGGAGAAGGGACGTGGGAGGAGGCAAAGAAACTACAGGCAGGGAGCTGGAAGTGGGGGGAAGGAGACAAGAAATCAAGACTCCAGGCAGCGGGACGCACACACTCACATACGCTCACACACATAGAGGCCAACAGACAGACAGCTACCTAAAGCCTGAAAGACTGACAGCAACACAGAAAAAGAGACACACACAGAAAGAGAGACAAAGACAGAAATAGAAACAGACTAACACGCAGAGTCAGAAATACAGAGACAGAAAGACAGGGAGAAAGAGAAACAGAAAATTAGACACCAAAGAGATACGAACAGGGAGGAAGGCCGACTGAAGGAAAGACGGAGAAGAGGAGAGAGAAGCCAGGGCCAAGCGTGCCAGCAGGCGGATGGAGGGCGGCCTGGTGGAGGAGGAGACATAGTGGCCCAGGCTGAGCTGGGTGGGCCGGGAGAAGCGGGTGCCTCAGCGCGGGGGTGGGGGCATGGGAGGGGCAGGCATTCTGCTGCTGCTGCTGGCTGGGGCGGGGGTGGTGGTGGCCTGGAGGCCCCCAAAGGGAAAGTGTCCCTTGCGCTGTTCCTGCTCCAAAGACAGCGCCCTGTGTGAGGGATCCCCGGACCTGCCTGTCAGCTTCTCTCCAAACCTGCTGTCACTGTGAGTGTCCAGCCCTCTGCACACCCAAAGGTGGGGATGGAAGTCCTGGGACCCCAGAGGTCAGGATGTGGTGCTGAGTCCCCAGGAAAACAAGGGCCCATCAGGATCTCAGGAGATGGGCAGCAAAGGCTGTCGGGATGCCATGAAGAGGAGTGCTGGCATCTGGGAGGGAGCAGAGGGAAACCCCAGAGGGCAGGAACAGCATTTGGGGCCCAGGAAGAGGGTTGAGTGCTGTCAGGGTCCTTGTCAAGCCAAGAGGGCAAATGCCTGCCTCCTCTGGCATGCAGGGGAGACACACCCAGGGTCAGGGTGGCACGCTGGGGTCTCCTGGATGGCAGAAGGCTCTGGTTTGGGACTGGAGCATTGCTGTGGTGTCCCCCTCACCTACCACTGCCCACATCCCCAGCTCATTCGTCAGGACTGGAGTCACCCAGCTGAAAGCCGGCAGCTTCCTGAGAATTCCGTCTCTGCACCTGCTGTGAGTGGGGCCTGGCTGGGCCGACAACCAGCGCAAGGGAGTGGGCGGTCATGCACATGTGTGGGAATGAATGCTCACACAGATGTTAGGTGGGCGTTCATGCACGTGTGTGGGGGTGTGTGCACACGTGCGTGCAAAAGCATTTGTGTCCATGCACATACTCACACCTGCGTGCCCATGCCTGTGTGGG